CCACAGAGAGGTCCAGTAACTTGCTCTGGACTTTACTTCTTGTTCATCCTGGAGCCATATAGGGCTGGCCTGCCTTGGGAAGGGTACAGAGGAATGTGGGTCTTTGGAGCCTTCCCTCCCTAGTTCTCCACATTCCTGCAGCACTTGGAAGGGCGGTCCTGCCTGTGGCTGGTCCTGCTATCCTAGTCATTTTTCCTACTAGCTGTAGATTGCTCCAGCTGCCCCGAGTGCCCATTTTTGTTGCTGGAGATTGCTTAAGTGAGTACCTGGTTGCTTTCCAAGAGAATGTTGAGTACTACAAGTGGCAGCAGGTGATAAGCCCCAAGCAGCAGGGATACTGAGAACTTACCAAGCTATGATCTCTACGGAAAAGACAAATAATGTGGTAATTAGAAGGAGGTATGAAGAACATCCAAGCAGTGTAATCAAATCCTAACCTAAATGGTAATAGAGGTTGAGATTTGAATTTATGGAAATATTTGAAATTTTATAATAAAGAAAATCCCTTAAGTGGACTTTTAATGTGTGACACTAAATAACTTGGAGAGCAGAAGAATGTTCCTCATCTTTTTTGCCTGTCTTTCAAAATAAATTGCTCTGCCACCCAACCCTAACACAGCCACAAAGAGACCAGTAGAGAGAGATGCTTTTTCCAAAGTACATTAAAGGAGTAGCAGCTCTGTTAAAATAGCTTTTCTTTCTTAACATTTCACTTTGATTTTGATATTTCTGTTCCTTCCTCACTCCCATCTTCTGTTCTCATCTCATTGATTGGCCATCCTTATATATGCAGGTGGGGGACCCTGCCCCATTACCCTTTTTCAGTGTTCCAAGAGCTTTTGGCTTTCATCCTCTAGCAACATGATGGTGCCTTATTATTCCCCAGCTCTCACTCCAGTTGAAGTCTCTAGTATGGTTGATCTGAGCCTTCCCATCTACTTCACTCATTCCCCATACCATTTCCTATCCTTTTCACCTGCCTTTCTCTTTATAGATCATCAATATATCCTCACCAGTTGCTTCAGTGGTATATTTGTCTTGGAGTTCCATCATTTTGCAGTTTTTCTGGGTGTGGTTTTCATTTTATCTATCCTGCTTAGGATTCATTGAAGTTCCTGAGCCTGAAGATTCATGTCTTCCATCAAGTCTAAAACAATTCTTTTCCTATATTGTCCTTCTGATTTTTTGTTGGAACTTCTCTTTCCTCCATGTCTTTTAATACCCTTTTTCTGCTTTCTCTCTTTAACTGCTTGTGCTGCATTTGAGTACTTTGCTGAAATCTTTTTAAAATCTCTTTCCACTTTATTGTTTGTTTATTCAGTGAGGTCTATCTAATCAGTATTTATCTATCCTTTGAGTTTTTTATTTCAACCCATCTATTTTTCTAACAATATTTGAAAGAACAATTATATTAGCTTGAAGAAGTTTTATGTGGTTCTTGTAAAATCTGACTTTAAAAATTTTTTAATCTTTTATCATGTTTTCATGTTTATATCATTAGTCTTTGTAAACGTTTTAATTTTAGGATGTTTAAACTGGATCTATATGATAGTACTGGTACCTGGAATTGTTGGTAATGGTGGAGGGGTGGGGTGGGAGTTCCTCATCCCTGTTTCTACCAATCTATGTTCATGACAGAGAGTTTGAGTGTTTTGTAATTTTGGATTGTGAGTTTTTCTTTGGGGATTGATTGATTGATTTCTGATAATCCACTACAGGCTGAGGTTGAGTTTCTGTCCCTCCAGAGAGGTTTTGTGTATACTTTTGTCAGGGGTCTCAGGATTATCACTGGCCTGGGCCACTTTGTAGCTTCACATTTAGAGAGACAGACCACCCAATAGGGGCTTAATATGAGCTTCAAATCTACATAAAGTGGGCCATTAGCTGTTAGTTCTCAGGGAGGCTTTTTTCCCCACTGCCGCTGAGATTCAGGCTGAGACAGATAAGCTTCTTCACCATCTCTTGTGCACTTAGAGTACTTTTCCCCCTAATCTACTCTTTCACAGACAGACTTTTTTTTGTGAGTTCTAGCTTTATGTGGGAGTTTCAACTGACATTCTTTCACCCATACTTCATGAAGGTCCTGAGGCTTCTTCTCCTGAACCACATGGATTTACAATCTAAATCCTGTGTTACCCAGACTGGTGAGCTGCTTTCCTCTTGGGGCAGCTAGCATCAGTTCAGATGCTTGGTTCTGGTTCAGATCTCTGTGTGTTTGACCCTAGAAAATTCCTTATTTTCTTGAGAAGTCACCTATGCACTTTAAAAGATATTTATTGTATTTTACCCAGAATTTATAAGCTTTTAATAGTAACAGATTTTTAAAAAGATATCTATTCTGCCAAGAGCACATCATCACTGTCCTCTGACAGTGTACACTAAAAGGTAGAAGATGACTGTCGACATCCAAAGAGCAATATGGAAAGGGGGCCTCTGCGCTCAACAAGTTCATAGATCTTTTTTGGTCTAACTCATTCATAAGCACTGAGGACTTTCATTTAGTCTTCTACTCCATCATCTTTACATTCAAATCACATTCACTAAGTTTTTAGTAAATTTGCGCTTTCCAGGCTTTCATTCATTTATTCAGCAGATATATACCATGTACAGCATTGCTACACGCCAGATATGTGCTTGTTGTGCTCAGCAAAAACATACCCAATCCCTATCTACATAAATAAATGTAAAATTGCACATGTAACAAATACCAGAAAATAAATGTGCAATGGTGCTGTGAGATCCGTTGATTTTGTTCAACTCAGGCCAGGAAGGGCTCAACTGGGGAAGTGAAATAAACAAGAGCTTTCACTGAGTGAAAAGGGGAGCAATAATTGTGTCAGGTCCAGGGCAGCATGTACAAAGGCCCTGGAGTGTGGAGGAAGGACTTAAAGAAAAGTGGTGAGATGAAAGAGGAGTAGTGAGAAGAATATGGTTCCAGAAAAGGCTGAGAAGGAGCTAGGGGTCAAACCGTGAAAGACCCTGTGGGCTGTGTTAAGGAATTTTTCTGTTTAAGTGTCATTGAAGGGCTTTAGAAGGGGGAATGATACATATAATTTGGCTTTGGAAAAGATCTTTCTCATTTGAGGGAGGAGAACAGAGCTGAGGAAGCATGAATGACAAAGGAGACCAGTTACAGGACTATTGTCAGTAGACCAGATTCAGAGTTGCTGGTAGCTCAAGGTCAATTTTGGCTTTGTAGAGTTGAAGGTATGGACAGATTTAAGATTTACTTACCAGATAAATTATTAGGAAGAAGCCGAGTGATGGGCCAGGGACAATTCCAAAGTTTCTAGCGTATATAAGTGGATGGCTAGTGATGTTCCTTTAATGAGATAGGGAACACTGGATAAGGTCAAGGTTTGGTGGAAAGGCCATGGCTTTTTCTTCTTTTACAGATTGGGTCTGAGGTTTTTGAAATATTTAAGAGGAAAATATCAAGAAGCAGTTGGATGTATGGATCCAGAGCTCAGAGAAGAGATTTGGGGATATAAATACATAAGGATTTGCTTATAGGTGTCCATCAGATGAGCTTTCCAATGGGGAGATGATGGATATCGCTTGGATATAGGGACATGCAGGTTACTAGTGACCTTATCAGGAGCTGTTGGGTGGCAAAATGGGGTGAGAAGCTTGGAGTAGGATATAGAGCATATAGAAGATGAGGGCATGGAATTAGATGAGTTTAGACAACTTTCAAGAAGTTTGCCAGTGAAGTTATGTAAGGCTTGCATTCATTTTTAAATGAAACATGTCACTTAATATGATCAGAGACTCAATAGAAAAAAACTTAAATAGTTTCTTGAGAGTGAAAAGGTGGCCAAGAAAAAGAAACCTATACTGGCACAGAGAGGAACCAAAGACACTCAACCAACACTGAAGTGTATGTCCTAAGAGCAAGCATTTATTGAGCTCTCACTATTGTACCAAGTGCCATTCTAAATGCTTAATCTGTATTAACTAAGTTTCCATGGCAACTCTGTGGGGTAGGTGCATTTTAGTTCATGCAGGACATGAGGATACCAGTGACAGAGAGGTGCCACCACTTGCCAAGGTAGAACAACAGGGATTTGAACCCAGTCTGGCTGTGGAGTTCATGTTCTTAACCACTACGCTGTCCTGCTTCTCCAAACGTGGGTGCATAATAAGCTATTTGTCTCATGTATGAGGCAAGATATGGGCTAATCCATCTAAAATATTGAAAATGTTATTGGGATCCCTGGGTGGCTCAGCAGTTGAGTGTCTGCCTTCGGCCAAGGGCATGATCCTGGAGACCCGGGATCGAGTCCCACGTCAGGCTCCCAGCATGGAGGCTGCTTCTCCCTCTGTCTGTGTCTCTACCTCTCTCTCTCTCTGTCTCTCTCATGAATAAATAAATAAAATCTTTACCAAAAAAAAAAAAAAGAAAGAAAAGAAAAGAAAATGTTATTGGTTGTGTAATGACTTTGGGGCAAAAGTATAAACTAATGTTCACTTAAATGATTTGTTAAAACTTCTTAGCTTTATGTTCTAGAACAAGGCAGGCGTAAATGAAATGTCATTAGATCAGTGTTAGCTTTCACCAGTGGCCTTTAATAAATGTGTGCACATTATTCATTTAATTGCACCTGTATCTGTGTGGTAGCCTCACTGTTGAGGGTATAATAGGTAAGTAAGCAGAATTCACAACGGTCTGAAGCCATTCATACCTCTCTGCCAAGGTGTATTTGTGAGTGTCCACTAACCAATGTCCTAAGATAAGTGACCTTTTCCAGATTCCTAGGGATTGGCTTTAATATATGCGTGTGGGGATGCCAGGGTGGCTCAGTGGTTGAGCATCTGCCTTCGGCTCAGGCTCTGATCCCAGGACCCAGGATTGAGTCCCGCATCGGGCTCCCGGCATGGAGCTGCTTCTCCTCTGCCTGTGTCTCTGCCTCTCTCTCTCTCTCTCTCTGTCTGTCATGAATAAATAAATCATTAAAAAAAATAATAATGGTGATGCATGTGTTTATTCTTTTCCTAAGGATTTAACAACACTGAGAGGACATGCGACAAAGAGTTTATTATTCGGAGAACAGCCACCAATCGAGTCCTGAATGTCCTCCGTCACTGGGTCTCAAAGCACGCACAGGTAATTTATTGGCATTGCTAATGACTTTCAAGGATTATTTTTTTAAAAAACCAAGTTTCTAAGTCGTTATATTTGTAAAATGCCTTCTGAGTCTTAGAGTTAGGGAAACCTTGGAATGAGAATAGAAAGGGAAGAAATGGGATAGACCTTTGGATCAAAGTAAACATGTGCCTGTTTGCCAAATATCCACTGTCTCCTATCTGGCATGACGCCGGAGGTGAAGCAGGGCTCCTCTCTTTCCTGACCTTATGAGGCAGCAGCCCCCGGCTGTGGGTGCTGGAAGCGCTGGCCTGTGCCAGCCAGGGAGTGCTCTTCATAGGGCTGTCACCGTAGGTGGGATTGCACCAAGTGTGGCCGTGCTGGGGGTAAGCAGCAGGTACTCATACCCCTCAGGTAAACAGCAGGTGCCCTTGGAGATTAGAGCACTCTGGTGTCTGGTCTGGAAGTATTTTCTCAGGCTGATTTAGGAGGTATGTAGCCTCATGCCTTTGATGTTCTGGTTCCTAATATTCTTTTTTTTAAATTGCCTCATGCTGACGGGACACCTACTTGATAATTGTTTGTGTGTTTTCAGTACATGTTCATAAAATTTACACCCATTTCACAATTTCCCAAAATAAAGGACGTCCTTCGCTTCATTGGCTTGAGCGTCCTTCGCTTCATTGGCTTGAGACATGTGTTGTGCTTTTGTGACCCACTGCCAAATAAAGGGGGGGGGGGGCTCTGGCGCACATGTGGTGGCTAGCACCTGCCAGGAGAGTTTTCAAGAGAGGGAAGGGGACCCTGCATGGCTTAGATGAGAACATGTTAATTATATAAAGTGTGAGTAAAATGCTAATTAATAAAGAAAAAGAGAAAAGAGGAGTTCCCGGGTCTCCCTTCATTATATTCTCAGATCTGTCGTGGATCTGCAGCACGGCCCTTGGTAACAACAGTCCATGAGAGAGCCAGAGTCCTGGAATCCCTGTGCGAGGAGAATACACTAATTGGGAAAAGTGGGATTTGGGCCTCACCATCAGTTAGCCCATGACAGTTCTTAAATGTAAATTAAAATAAAAATGAAGGTAGCATGTTAAATATAGGATGTAAAAATTTTATCTTACACCTCTTGAATAAAGAAAAATGGATCCCCTATGACTCAAATTCTGAAACCATCCTGAGCCCATGGAAAATGTCTCATCTCTCTTCCTTATAATCTGAGGGAGCTGCTTGTAGGTCCCCTTGCCTCATTGCAGGTGCATGATAATGAGGTTTCTCCTGTGTCTGACAGTCCCATTCCCCTCTGGCTTTGGACTCGGGGTCCTGACTTTTGATTCCCAGGGCTCCAGTGGCTTCAGGGGTGCAGAGTAGCTTCAGTACACAAGGCTTAGCAGGTGCTCCTCGGTTGTCTCCCCTGCTGCAAGTGCAAGCCCAGCCCCCTCCTATCTGCAAATCTTCTCTGAAACCTCTAATCTTGCTTCCCTATCAGCCTCACCTCCTTTCCCTCCCTCCCCAGTGCCCTCTTTTTCTAATGATCTGAAACAGGAATCCCTCCCAATTTGCATAGAACCCTTGCAGTGGCTAGAAAAAGAGTCGTGAACCAATTTACGATCTGTTGGTCTTACTTTACTTTGGGTGAAGAGAGCTCATAGACGGGGAGATGGGTGGGCTGAATCCCTTACTTGTACGATAGAGATGTGCAGGCAGGTGTGATCATCTGGCTTGACAGTGGCTGCATAGCTACATGCATCCAGCCGGGATTAGAAAGAAAAGCACCAAGTCCCCGGAACAGAAAGTGGATTGATACGAAAGCAAGGGTCTCGTTATTCAGTGTGTCCTGGGGCCTTTAGCTGTAATCTAGAAAGACCCTAAATGTTAACTGGTGGTCAGACAGTTAAGGTACTTCGCTGCCTGTTACTTAAGGTGTGCTTGGATGTGGGGAAGCACTTGGTCATCTGCTTAGGAGGCCCATGCTTGAGAAACCTGGCTTCTCAGACCCTCCCTACGTTGGGGACAGACGTGGATGGTACAAATTGCTCAGACATCCAGTCTTCCATCCTGAGACAATTAAAAAAATTTTTTTGTATATTTTTTTCATTGGAGCTTGGTATGCGAACATACAGCATAACACCCAGTGCTCATCTCATCAAGTGCCCCACTCAGTGCCCATCACCCAGTCACCCCGTCACCCAGCCAACCTCCCCTTCCACCACCCCTTGCCAGAGTTAGGAGTCTCTCACGTTCCGTCACCCTCTCTGATATTTCCCACTCATTTTCTCTCCTATTCCCTTTAAACCCTTTCACTATTTCTTATATTCCCCGTATGAAGAAGCCATATAATGTTTGTCCTTCTCCGATTGACTTACTTCACTCAGCATAATACCCTCCAGTTCCATCCACGTTGAAGCAAATGGTGGGTATTTGTCGTTTCTAATATTCTATTGTATACATAGACCACATCTTCTCTATCCATTCATCTGTCGATGGACACCGAGGCTCCTTCCACAGTTTGGCTATTGTGGACATTGCTGCTATAAACATTGGGGTGCAGGTGTCCCGACGTTTCATTGCATCTGTATCTTTGGGGTAAATCCCCAACAGTGCAATTGCTGGGTCTAGGGCAGGTCTATTTTTAACTCTTTGAGGAACCTCCACACAGTTTTCCAGAGTGGCTGCACCAGTTCACATTCCCATCAACAGTGCAGGAGGGTTCCCCTTTCTCCACACCCTCTCCAACATGTGTTGTTTCCTATCTTGTTAATTTTCCCCATTCTCACTGGTGTGAGGTGGTATCTCTTTGTGGTTTTGATTTGTATTTCCCTGATGGCAAGTGATGCGGAGCATTTCCTCATGTGCTTGTTGGTCACGTCTATGTCTTCCTCTGTGAGATTTCTGTTCATGTCTTTTGCCCATTTCATGATTAGATTGTTTGTTTCTTTGCTGTTGAGTTTAAGAAGTTCTTTATAGATCTTGGAGACTAGCCCTTTATCTGATAGGTCATTTGCAAATATCTTCTTCCAATCTGTAGGTTGTCTTTTAGTTTTGTTGACAGTTTCTTTTGCGGTGCAGAAGCTTTTTATCTTAAGTCCCAATAATTCATTTTTGCTTTTGTTTCCCTTCATGGATGTATCTTGCAAGAAGTTGCTGTGGCCAAGTTCAAAAAGGGTGTTGCTTGTGTTCTCCTCTAGGATTTTGATGGATTCGTGTCTCACATTTAGATCTTTCATCCATTTTGAGTTTATCTTTGTGTATGGTGCAAGAGAGTGGTCTAGTTTCATTCTTCTGCATGTGGATGTCCAATTTTCCCAGCACCATTTATTGAAGAGACTGTCTTTCTTCCAGTGGATAGTCTTTCCTCCTTTATCGAATATTAGTTGACCATAAAGTTCAGGGTCCATTTCTGGGTTCTCTATTCTGTTCCATTGATCTATGTGTCTGTTTTTATGCCAGTACCACACTGTCTTGATGACCACAGCTTTGTAGTACAACCTGAAATCTGGCATTGTGATGCCCCCAGCTCTGGTTTTCTTTTTCAGTATTCCCCTGACTATTCGGGGTCTTTTTTGATTCCACACAAATCTTTAGATTATTTGTTCCAACTCTGTGAAGAAAGTCCATGGTATTTTGATAGGGATTGCATTGAATGTGTAAATTGACCTGGGTAGCATTGACATTTTCACAATATTAATTCTTCCAATCCATGAGCATGGAATATTTTTCCATCACTTTGTGCCTTCCTCAATTTCTTTCAGAAGTACCTGACACAATTTTTATGTAAAATCATTATATAAGATATACAAAACAATTATGATATACAAAATATGAAGGGCTTGAACAGTAGAATTTTTCATCATTTCCCATCTCATCAAAGATAACTAATACTGGCAGATACGACCCTGAACTTCATTCAGGAGAAAGAGAGTTGTGGTATTATGAGTGTTGGTTCTCCAGAGAAATAAAATTTCCCTAGGATGTCACCCTCAACTCCTTCCCTGCAGTGTGTACTAGAATGCCATTCTGGAATCTTCTAGCCTTTCCTTTAGTAAGTATTTGGCAAGGCTAGAATATTGTGGTTTTTTATTTTGATTCTAAAATTTTTCATCTGTTACATGTTCTGCCCTAGTTTCTCCTCATTTTGTTTTGCTTTTTCACTCATGTGTTGCCTTTCTTGATGAAAGTGAAGCCACAAGTCTTCCCTGGGTGTCTCCCACATGTCTTGTCTGTGGGTTAGCAGAGTCGGGATACACGAGTTCTTCTTCGAGCTCTGTCACTATATCTTCTGTGGGGGCTGATTTGGTCCCTTGGCCTCACTGGGTGTTAATATTCTCTTCTGAGAATGAGAACAACCCTCCATCTCTTGCCTCCCCCGAGGATGTAGTAATGAGGTTTAAAGGCAACATTGAATCGAGAAGCAGGAAAGACATAAAGTACACTGTGGGTGGGTGTGACCAACTTTCCCTTCCAGCTAAGGATAGGAGATGAACATTTCCTCCCCCTACAAGGAGCTCTTAATTCCCTGTAGATGGGATGTGTCTCCTTCATCGTTGTGTCTGCTTCCTCAGGGCTCTGCAATGCAGGGTTCATGGGAGATGCCCAGGAAAAGTTATCAAATAGAGTTTACAGGTTAATGTTGCTGTCGCTCATTCTCTAGCATTTAAAATATGCAAAGTCAGCCAGGACAGAACTAAGGCCACTGAGGGACCAGAACTCAGCGCTGTGTGTTTAGAAAATCAGAGAGAAGGAAGTCTTTTTGTTAGGTGTCCACACACAGCTCCAGTGTCTCCTAGCAGGAGACATGTGTGGACATTTGCACAATTCCAGGGTGTCTATAGGTTTCGGGGCCTGCAGTGCTTTTAACCCCATGCTCCCAAGACTGCTTTGTCTTCTGTGCACAGATGGGAGAGGGAGGGGCTTTGAGGCTGGCACTCGAGTGTCTGTGAGAGGCCTGGTGTGTACAATCTATAGCAATTTTGATTTTCCCGAATTGCCTTATAGACCCACTGATTCTGGAAAGATTCTTC